CACACATTGCAGACTACACCTAAACTAGATCTATGTAGGTCAGGTTTCAGAAATGTGTATAATAATTAACGTTTAAGGCTTATAATCATTGTAAATTGTGCCGTCGCAGCAACAGACGCTGATGTCGTTGTGCTGTTTTGAATTCAATTGTCCTACTTTTTTGCGACTTGAGCAAGACTTTAGTATTCTTAGTCTGGGGCTTACACAAGGAGGTTATATAGAAATGCTCAAGGTCATGGCGTTCCAGAAAATCGTGCAGGTCGTAATGAGCACTAGGCTATTGGGCACAAGGAAATACATGAAGTTTAAATAGACCTGTGCCGGTGTATGCAATTCTGAGGGCTGTCCCCACAAGGGTTGGGGTTTTTTGGTGGTGGTGGGTTATTTTTTTCCGGGGGGAGGGGGGGGGGTAGATCTATATGTTTTACGGCGCTCGCAACAACATAAGGTCATATGAGCCACAGGGGCACATTAATTAAGTCTTTTCGGTTCATAGGAAATTTTGAATTTTTTGCCGGGTGGCAGCCGAAGCCTTCTCTTTATTTATACATGTACGATTTTGGAGCACCAATTAATTGATTTCTAACGTGCACAACTTGCCCACGGGACCTCCGAGATTTTTTGCCCTTGTCCGAGAAGGCTAGATGTGAGATCTTATATGATCAGCGGTGTGGCTGAAGGACAGCAGTAAGAAGCCAAGGAATAGCAGAAGAAAGGCTACTGAAAGCGTCAGAAGCCGAGGTCACTTCAGTGAAAATTTTTTAGTTATCCAAGTAATACAATGTGGCAGCATTATTAAAATTAACAAGGTGAATGTAACCATTTGACTATATCACAATAGAAATGGAAACCGTTGAAGCCTACATATTATTACTATTGTACAAATTCGGTTAAAAGAATGAGAGCTAAAAATAACAGAGCTGTAGCTGTTCGGTTCCTGTCGGTAAAAGGGGAAAATCCAACTGAAATTCAGACAAGCCTTGAAAATTGAAAGTGTTTATGGTGAGAATAATGTTTTAAGCAAGTCAGAGGTCTACCATTGGTGCAATTTATCCAAAGAGGGGTATAGGCCACACATAGAACTTATTACTAGGCAGTCTTCTGTCTTCCAGCACGCATTGAAAAAACAATCAGGATGACAGGAGGCTAAAAATCATGACACTGCTGCTGATGCTCTAGCTGGATCTTCCTCAGTCGACATTTCACAAAACTGCCTCTAATGGAGTGAGATCAAGAAAAGAGTCAACTCGGGGGG